ATTTTGTAAAAATCTTTATTTAATACTGTTGAAGTTTTCTCTCTCTCTCCCTCTCACACTGTCCCTTTTGCTCTCTGTCACTCTCGCTGTCTTTATCTCTCACACTCTCTCTCTCTCTCTCTTTCGCTTTCTCTATTTCACTCTAATTTTTTCTCTCCCACTCTCACTCTCGCTGTCTCTTCTCTTTCTCACACCCACGTTTACACTCACACTTACAATCATACTCACATTCACACTCTATCTCTCTCTATCTCTAGCTTCCTTTCTTTCTTTCAGTCTATATCTCTCCCTCTCTCTTGTTTTCTAATTCCTATTTCGGATTCCCGATTCAGTTACATCAAGCTAAAAATCCAACTAAATTTTGTCGCACAGTGTTATCGTTACGTTTCAATATGCAGCTCACATAATACCTTATTGCTATCTCTCTCGCTCTATTTGCTATTGCATTTGCCGTGCTGCAGTTCAACAATAAAATCTGTTATTTATGTTCTTAGAGACTCGTTTGCTGCAACACGATATTTGTGCTGTTTGTTAATGTTTAATGCATTTAAGCTTCTTTCTATGCTCAGCTATTCCCATTGCCAAATGCCGCATTTAGCCAGCTTTATTTGAATTTGGCAATATGTTTCTAGGCGCATTATTTACTTCGATCACAAAATAGAGCTTTGATTTACTGGTCTGAACGTTTTTAAAGCTTTTTCAATTACTTTTAGCACTTTTAATTGAATTTATATTAAGTTGATAGAGTTAAATAGCCCATAAATAAAAAAAATTCTAAGCAGAAAATTCCTGAAAAGCAGACAAAAGTTTTATAAGTCTTATTGGCGCAGAAAATACCAGGAGAACCCTTTTAAAGCCCTGCGAGGATGCATAAACAAACTCTTTATATATACGAACTCCTTATAGATCAAATATATATACAAAAGATATATATTCAAAGCTTATATATGACAAAATTATGCGCATCAATACGCCATTCTTAAAACCCAATTGCAGAGTGCTGGTGGGGGGAGGGGTAAGGGGGGCTAACTGTAATGCCCTAAACCCAAACTACAACAAAAACTCGTTGCAATTAGCAGATTTGAATTTGGGATTTGGGCAAACTTAAACCAAATGCAAACGCCTCGATGTTATTGTTATGGCCGTCGTTTCTTGTTATTGCTGGCAATTAAAACGCACACACCCCGGCCGGCACGCCCACTGTGGCGCCCCCGCGCGACCCGCCATAAACCGCTGTTTGATAATGTTAAAGTGGCGGGCAAACAAATCAAAAAGCATATTGAAATTGGGTTAATGTGCAGTCGTCCTGGCTGCTAGCTGCTGCTCCTGCTGCTCCTGTTCCTGCTGCTCCTGCTGCTACTGCTGCTGCTGCTGGCTGGCTAAGGACAATGCGTTCGCTGTTTACTTTACGGGCTATAATCCGAAAATTAAGCGCGGCCCGAGCATTAAAATTTTTGCGCAGCTCACACGCGCCCACAAACCCCTCCACTCCCTCCCCCTTTCCGCCGCCTACCTCATCCCGCACACTCTGATGGGATGCTGGCTGTTGTTTCAAGATAAAACTTCATGTGCGTTGGAAAAAACAACAGAAAAACGCAAGTGTGTGGGTGAGTTGCGAGGGGGGAAGGGTGTTTTGGGTTGCTTGTTGGTTTGGGGTTGATTCAGTTTGGCAATGGCAAACACTGGCAGCAGGCACTGTATATATGTCTTATCCGTTATCCTTTATGGCAATGTCATATGTTACGCACATTTAAAACGTATGTTGAATTTTCCATCACCTGATAGCGCAGGATATGCAGGACCTGATGCTGATGCTGCCACGACTGTTGCTGCTGCTGCTGCTGCTGCTGCTGTGTGGGAATCTGTGCATATACTCTACCTGAAAAGTCGTATCAGTCGCTGAGTTTCTCACACTTAATGGGCAATGCCCTTTGCATGTGCTGCGCGTTTTTTCCCGCTTTATCAATTGGTCCATTGGAAATACCCGTCCGACGTGAGCGTGGGAATTGCTTAGACTTCATACAGATTTTTAGCAAATATCTCTCTCTATATATATGTGTATATACATATATAGTGAGTGTAGTGTTAGGTTCGTAGTGGCACATTACCTGTCGCATGCCGCATGCAGTGCGCAGCCGCAACACCCACATTAGCAGCAGCACGGCGCAGCAGCATTCAAAATGTGCCGTTAATTGCTTTATGGCTGCTTTTACTACACTCGCACATACATACATAGCATATATACACTCTATATATATTTAGTCTATGTATATTGAGACTTTTTGGCAGCGTGGGAATCGTTGTCAATCAGTTTTTGCATTGCTTTTACCTACGTTACTCTCTCTCTCTCTCACTCACTCTCCTTTGCTTGCTCTAACTCTTTCCCTATTTGCCATTTCAAGTTCAGTGCGCACATTTGTGTTCGGATTTATTTTTAAAACATTTCTATTTATTTTGTCTTCAGGCATTTGCCTTTAACCAGATTAAGGTCAAGCTATGGCTAAGCAGCAGCTCCGCAAGTTCGCATCTCTGTTTGTTATTTTAATGCTCTTTCCTGGTATGGAGTGCCATAACTTCGTAGTCAAGTGTGACTAGCTATGCTCTAGAGGACTCAATATTTTTCAGAGAGTCTCTAATTGCTGTAGAAAGTACTGGAAAACGTTTGAATTGAATCGAGTGTGTGAAGATTTTAATAAATTTGAGATAAACTTTCACAACTATTTTAAAGCATAAAAAATAATAATTAATTTTAAAAATAATTTTGTATAAATAATTAACTAAAATTAAAATGAAAAATTTTTGACCAAAACTGAATAAGATAAAATAAAAAGTAAATTTTGGTTGAAAAATATATATGTATGTAGCTTTTATGTTTTAAGTAAAAATATATAACTTGAATGAAAAAACTGTTAAAAATAAATATTTAAAAAATTAAAAAATAAATCAAGTTAAATTAAATTAAAAATTTATGACTATAAAAATTACATTAAATAGAAAAATGTAATTTGTCATAATTTGTAAAAAAGTTGGATTTCTTGTGATCTACATTTTTATTTGCTTTTTACACTTTTTACTTTTATTTAAAAAAAATTGTTTTGTAAAAATTTATTTGTAATAAATATGTATGTTTTTATGTTGTTAGGTTCTGCTTTTTAAAAGCACATTTATACTCTCTTAGAATATGGCTAAGAAGTGGTTAAAGTTGTAAAGCATTTCTAACAACTTTTCTTCTCAGTTTCAGTCCTTTAGGTAGCGATTAAAAATATCAAATCAAAATATTTCAGAGACTTGCGAGAGTTTTAGTTTTTAATATAGTTTGATTTATAATTTCTTTTATTTCTTTTGAATATTATTATTCACAAATACTTTAGTTTATATTTCTTTTGGTTACATTTGATCAATTATTTCTATTCTTTATTGCTTTCCACAAGCTATTGAATAATCAATAAGAGTATCGTTTGATAAGTGTCGCGGGTGAAGAAAACTTTTCGCCTCAATCTTCCAATCAATTCATATTATTGTGCATATTTAATGTGCTCCAACTGGCGAATATATAGAAATTTATGTATTTATGTTTATTAATTTTCAAAGCTATTTGATTCTGTGCTTTATGGGAATTTGTCGAATTTCCGCTCGTTTTTATGGCTATGGCAAAATTATGTGCATATATATTCTCGTTGCTAGATATGGAGTCTATGAGCTGTGTGTACTTATATCTGTATATGTGTGCATATCCTTTGCCATTGTGACCCACTTAGGGAACATAAACTATCATTAGCTAACTGCTAGCCGCGATACAATGGCAATTCAGATGAAACTGCCCTGTCGCGGCACTGGTAGAACAAGAAGAAGAAGAAGAAGCAGCAGGAACGGCATCATCACGCCGGATACGATACGGAACGACCTCGGCGGCACTTCAGACGCGCATGTTGTCACATTTGAGTTGCGGATTAGCGGCGCGCAGCTCTTTTAGGATTATGATCATTTAGCAAATCTGTTGCTCCCGTAGCACTGTATATACTTACATACATACCTCGCGTGAGCGTGGCGGATGCACATACTCCGGAACAGCATCCGAACTCACACCCAGCAGCTGAGCGACTTTTGACAAATGTGCCATTTACTTAGAGTTCCCTTTTTTTGTTTTTTTTTGTTTTGCTCTCCTCACATTAAAGTTAGCCTGGCATAAATTGATTTGCCATAAGCCAAAATTGTTTATCATGCCAGACTTTCAGCAGACATGCAAAGACACAGATATATACATATATATATATATATATATTTGTTTCATTCAGGTTAGGGCTTTGTGACTCTTGCGGCTACGTGACCTATGTCAATAAACTTGTAATTACGTGCGAATTCTTGCAATTCCTGCTGCTAAATAGCCAATATATATAAGTATCTTTATATATATATATATATATGTGTGTGTGGGTGTAAAGCAGCAGGAGCTATGCGCTGCATATTTGCCAAAAACTGCGCCAAAATCACGTTCCAAACTATTTTATCAATGGCAAAGAAGGCAGCGTACAAAATTTTGGCCAACAAAAAAAGAACGGAAAAACTCTTCACTCACACACACACAGAGCTGTCTAAGGGCTCTGTTGGTATTGGCAAACATAGGTTTTTGTACATTATGTATAAAAGTCAAAAATGCTGTCAACCTGTTGCACACACACACACACTTCGACAATACTTCCATTACTTCCGTTTGCCATTGAGGATCAATGGAAAATCGGTAACATGGCCAAAAAGTCAATTGGCCTGTTACCTGTTTCTCTTGCTGTTGCTGTTGCTGTTGCTGACCAATGGCTGCTACAGTTTAGAGCCTTTGCAGCTCAGGTAGAAAGTTTCCAGGTTAAAACTGACTGCACAGGACGAAGTGCGCTCAGTTGTAAACAGGTGATCGTCGTGCTATGAGCAAGTGCTCGCAACAACGAATTCAGTTACATTAAGGATATTCCCGTATTTTGTGTGCTCCAAAAAAGAAAAACAAGTAAAATTTGTAACACATAATGACGAACCATCGTCGTGTGCGCAAGGACTGCTATGAGAGCAGATTACATGGTTTGTGTGATTGAGAATTTTTTGATAAGGAAAATGTATAATATAATATATAAATGTATAATTCGAAAGATTACAGTGAATAAATTAAATCAAATGAAACAAACCTGTGCAGATATTGTATAATAGATATACATATTAAATTAAAATTCGAATGTATTTTAAAAATATATATACACATGTACATAAATAGGAAGGTAATAGGAATAAGATAGAAAAGTTATGAATGAAGATGTGTCAAATTGTGAAGATATCAAGCTGATTATTTCTTATGATGCTCAAATGATCTTATATATTTCCACTCATAGTTGAATTTGGTTCGTGCATATATGCATATGTATAATAAATGTGTTGTAAGTGTATATTATTGATACACTACATAATATTAATAACAATTGATAATCCCAAAGAAAGAGATCTTCGATAGCAAAAAAAAAAATTAATACATTTGTCCATTAATGTAGCTTGAGTTTCAGGAGTCAGTAATTTTGGATCTGGTAAAGATATCATTTTTCGTCAGTATTGTTTAAAGTACGGTCTTAAGGTTCTCTGTTGTATGAAAACTTTATTTATAAATGTTTTGTTATAGTAATGAATAAGCTAAGTCTGGTTAAATCTAGAGATTTGAAAATTCATGCATATACATACATATAAATATTATATGTGTCCCGGTCTCTCAAGTTATTTTTTTTAGATACCTACTCCCATTGACAGATTGATAAATAAAATAGAAAATTTTAGTTTAATGCAAGTATGAAGGAGTTTCAAATATAGGATAAGGCTATACTGTTAGTGTTATACTGATATTGATAGTATAGGGGTATACTGTCTGTTTTACGTTGCTTTGAAGATTACTTGATAAATCAACGTAATCATAAGTTTCCCAAAATCTTTCATTATACAATTTTTGAAATCGTTAATGCATAAGACTTCTATAGATTCTCTAAAAAAATGACAATGAAAATACAGTTTTCCTATATATATAATATTCTTTGTCTATATATAATTTTTTAGTAAAAAGTAAAATAAAATAATATAATAAACAATAATACAAGGAATGGTCTTTGTTAATCCAAAGACCTCATCATCTTCATTAGCAACTTTAACCTATTTATAATGATCCATAGCTCCATATAATCGATAAACTAAATCATGTTCGGCAATTTTCCTTTTTGCAGATATAGCCAAAACGTGTGCCATGAAGGAGAAAAGCAAAAATGCTGCACGCACGCGTCGTGAAAAGGAGAATACGGAATTTTGTGAATTGGCCAAATTATTGCCGTTGCCGGCGGCGATAACGTCGCAGCTGGACAAGGCGTCAGTCATACGTCTGACCACATCCTATTTGAAAATGCGTCAAGTTTTTCCCGATGGTAAGTGGGCCAACAAGTTGGCCAAGTCGCAGTGCGCCACAGTGCGCACCACCAAATGCCAATTGGTTCAGTTGAATTCATTTGGCTTTTCATCTTGCGCCTTCGCTGTGTGTGAATTACGTCAAATGAGGCATAAGGAATCCTGGTGACAGCCACGCGGCCGACACGCTCATTAAGCTGGCACACACACACACACACACACACACACACACAGTTAGACAGGACACAGCAGGATACGGCCTTTGTTAATTTAACAACGACGACAAATTTTCAAGTTTAAAAGGCGTTGTTTGCTTAAAGCATATGCTTAAAGGAAAAACCACTCGAACAATGCGCAGACAATAAACAAGCAGGTGGGGGAGGGCGGTGAGTGGGTTGGGGGTGCGGTTGGGGGGGCCGAAGTCGGAAAAACACAATGGCGGCCTGTTGTTTCCACTCAAAGAGCAGCGAGCAGCGAGCAACACGAGAGAGCGACGAGACGAGACGAGACGAGATGAGACGAGATGAGACGTTCACTGGAAGTGGATGCCCGGTGGTTGGCGCTGGGTGGCACAGCTATCAGTGTATGTGTGGGTGGGTATGTGTGTGTGTGTGAGATTTTGTGCTGACTACGAGGGTTGCACAACAGGCTCAAGTTAAGGGCGTTTGTTGTTGTTGTTGTTGCTGCTGCTGTTGTTCCATTGTGCGCAGCGTTTTGTGCTTTTCTGGTTTTTTTTTTCATGCATTGCTTTATTGAAATAATTATTTTAATAATAGGCAACAAACAACGCGCAAGGAAGTGCGCGCACAATGAGAACAGCACAACAACAGCAACAACAACAACTAAGCACAAGGAGTAGATGACACGAGAATGCAATGCGTATCGTATATCGTCCGGGCCATATCCCATTCGGGGCGTCAGTTCGTGTGGGCTGTGAATGGGCCACCTACGGCGCTGATGACTTTAATTGGGAATAATATTTAGACGTCAACTGTGTGTGTGGGTAGGTTAGCAGCAAGCTGCCGGAGGGGGCAGGGGACAGTTCGTTGTCTCGGCGTGTGGCGGCTGCTGATTTAGTTGACAGCCTCTGCTCAAAAGAGGCCATGGGAAAGTTGGCACAGCCAGGCAGCACGATTTCGTGCAGTAAGTGAAGAATGAGCTGCCAAAAGTTTGGCATTGTGAGAATTTTATTAATATTCAGTTGGAACGGCGTCATGGCAAATTTACAGCCTGGCTGTAAATCTAAATTATAGGTGGATTTTTTATATAATGCTAATTCACAAGAGATTTTAATTTGTATAAACTGCTAATAGGGAATTGAGAAGTAGATTGTCTTATACAATATGGCAAAAATCTGTCGATGTCTAAGACTTCTGTTTTAAAAACACATACACCTAATGACCTTTGCTATATGCCCCATACAATCAAATTTACTATATATCATTCTATGTCTTATACTCTTCTTTCGTATATTATCTATACTACATGTTCTATAGGTCGTATATTACCTGGCTTATACAACATGATTTATACTTCTATAGTAAGTCTTATACTACATGGATTACACTACATATGTTATAGTCGTCTTATACTACCTATGTTGTTTTACATGTCTTATAACACAGTTCATATACTACATGTCTTATCTCACAGTTCTTATAGTAAATTTCTTATATATAAGACCTGTGAACTTATATTTCAAATGAAAGATTATATATTATATACATATAAGTCCGAAACCTTCTTTCCGTGTCTTATACTAGATTCTAATAGTATTATCCTAGACTATAAGTCTTACATTCTTACATTCACTTTCTTATACTCATTGTCTTATACAACACGTATACACCATATGACTTATATTACCTGTCTTACTTTTCGGGTTTTCTACCACAAGCTTTATACTTCATCTTATACTACATATTTTATACAATATATCTTATATAACAATCGTATGCTTATTGTTTTTTTGCTTGCAGGACTCGGTGAAGCTTGGGGCTCCTCGCCTGCGATGCAGCGTGGCGCAACCATCAAGGAGCTGGGCTCGCATCTGCTGCAGACGCTGGACGGCTTCATCTTCGTGGTGGCACCTGATGGCAAAATCATGTACATCTCGGAAACGGCCTCGGTGCATTTGGGTCTCAGTCAGGTGGGTGTTGGGCATCATTTGCCTGATTTATGCGCATAAATTTGAGCTGGCGAATGGCCCTTTCTGGGCCCGGGCTGGCAGCGCCACTTGCATTCGCCATTTGCAAGTCAAGTGGCAGGCATCAAATGGCCTGGAATTTGCATACGCTCGACTCACTAATTGGCACTCAGCACTCAGGACTGAGCAAGCGAGCAACTGGCATTAATTTCATTCTGATTTCCTTTTCCATTAGGTCGAGCTGACGGGCAACTCCATATTTGAGTACATACATAGCTACGATCAGGATGAGATGAATGCCATATTGTCCTTGCACCCGCACATGCATCAGCATCCAGTGAGTAGACTCTCTCGCCCTCTCTCTCTCTCCTTTTCTCAATAGCAGCTCTCTCTCTATCGCTGTCTCTATTTGCCTACGTCTGTCTCTGTTACGGTTGACTCATGCCACAGGCTGCCTTTCTCAACTCCCTACAGCTCGCTCAGACGCACACGCCCATTGGCAGCCCGAACGGCGTGCAGCATCCGTCGGCCTATGGCCACGATCGTGGCTCGCACACGATCGAGATCGAGAAGACGTTCTTCCTGCGCATGAAATGTGTTTTGGCCAAGCGTAACGCGGGCCTCACAACCTCCGGCTTTAAGGTGAGCTAAACTTGGTTTATACCTTCTTAAGACTTTGCTAATTGTGAGGTATATTGGCTTCGGCAGGTGATACATTGTTCCGGCTATCTGAAGGCGCGCATTTATCCGGATTGCGGCGATGGCCAGGGCAGTCTGATACAGAATCTCGGCCTGGTTGCCGTCGGTCACTCGCTGCCTTCATCCGCCATCACGGAGATCAAACTGCATCAGAATATGTTCATGTTCCGGGCCAAGCTTGATATGAAGCTCATCTTTTTCGATGCACGGTAAGTTAAACCATCAAAATATATCGTGGAAATATGAAATGTGGCATGTAAAAATGTTAAAATGTGTTTAGGAATACAAAGTTTATGAAGATTGACTTGAACTCTAAATTAAGGTGACCATAGCAGCTGCAGAACCTCTTTATTAGGTAATCATCATATAAGGAGGGTTTAATACCTAATATTGTTAGCTTTTATTTAGGGTGACCCTATTATCATTGGAGTTTATATTCAATTCATTATTATTCTAGACGATGCTTCTTAATAATTCCTTATAGATATAATTAACTATTTATTTTAGAAATCAATAGGTAAATAATACTTAGGGTGACCGTAGTAAACAATATCTCTTCAATAAGATAGTTCTATTATAAAGAGATTACAGATGTTATTGAAGTGATTCAATAGTTAGTAATTAGTATTGTATTAAATATTGAAATAGACAGACTGAATAATTTGACATTTTTGAGTATCTTAATGATTAGGGTGACCTTAACAGCGCAACAGATCGTATACTTAATTCAGTTTAAGAACTAACTTAGCAAGTATTATAGTTAGATCATATGATGAGAAATTTTCATTGTCAGACAGATGAAACATTTCCTAAACACCAAACGAAACCCGATCGTAAACAATGGAAAAGGGACTTTAACAAAGTAAAGCTTGCGCTCTCTTCGTTGCCAACGCCATAAAAAAGGCTCAATTTCGCTTAGAGCACTAGGAACACTAGACAAATATTTAAACGGGTCGCAACAGAGAGGCCAGCAACATACAAAAAAAAAAGAAAGGAAACTGTTAAATATATGTATGTATATATATAAAAAACAACACAGCACCCCCCCCCAAAAAAAAAGATAACGGCTAAAAAAAGAAGAAGAAAGAAATATAACAAAAAGAAATGACGAAACGCAAGACGAGAATCCCCCGCTCTGACAGAAAAGGAAAACAAATCATTTCCCTCTTGAGCTTGATTTTGCTTTGTGTGCGCTGCTCCACAGCAAATCGAGGGGGAGGTGACTGAATTGGGGGACGGGGGCGGGGCAGCGTTAGCAGAAGGCGGTTGCCTTTAAGTGCCTTTGCCTTTGCCTATACGAGCAGAACCAGCAAAACCAGCTGCCCTCCAACCAGACCACTTTGTCTGACATTATTGTCACTCAATTACCCTCATGATGTTGCCATGAGGCGCGGCAGCAATGCTCTGTCTCTGTCACTCTCGACATCTCGCTCCGACTCTCTCTCTCTCTCTCTCGCTCACTCTCTTAGTTGCTCGCCCGGTAGCAGGATGTGGTGCAACCCCAAAGTGTGAAACAGCCCTTTTTTCGCTCTGTGTAAGCTAGCTGTTGTTTTTGCTGCATAATTGAATTGAAGTTGACAAAAGTAAACCGACCAACACACAGCAACAACAACAACAACAACAACAACAGCATTTGTTTAAATAAAAAAATGTAAACGAGCAATAAAGACGACATTTGAATGCCCTATTCAGGCATATCAATTCGCATTTACATTCATTTGTGTGCGTGATAAATGCGTGACGTTAAAAGAAAATAGAAAGAAAATAAATTTGTTTGTATGTATTTATACAGTAAGTTGCAAAAATATATTTGTTACGTTGATATTTATATTGATTAAAAATGAAGAAGAGCTCGGTTTGATGTGTATATCTGAAAAATTCGTATAAATTTTGACTGAAATAGCTATTTTAGGTATAAAAATAAAATGTTTTTAAGTTGTTGGTAAAACAAGTTTAACTTATTTTATATTTAACAATAGATGTGGTTTTTCTTTTAATTTTAATTTTTTTGTTAGATTAAATTAATTTAAATTAAATACACGACATTTTTTCATTTATAAATATTCTATTTATTTTTCATTTTTTACAAATGAATTAATAGAGTTTTTTTCTAAATTATATATATTTTAAATTTGTTCAATGAATTAAAAAAATTATTTTTAATTTTTGTATTGTAAGACATGCGAAAAAGGATACAAAATATTATATAATATATGCCTTTTCCTAATATACCAGTCACCAATAGGAGAAATTTCTTAGTTTGCTTGTCAACATGCTCACACTTTCAGCAAGCGTATAAAAATACAACGAAATCGTTGAGTACATAACCTCAACGGTGCTTGTGTACATAACCTCAACTCTGGTTTATTTTCTCAATTGTTTTTATTGTTTATTTACTTGCAGCGTATCGCAGCTAACCGGCTACGAGCCACAGGACCTTATCGAGAAGACGCTCTATCAGTACATTCATGCCGCGGACATCATGGCCATGCGCTGCTCCCATCAAATCCGTAAGAAAACAATAACAGTAAAGCCTTGTGCACTAAGCTAACGGTACAACACCTCTCTCTCCCTCACCAATTCTTTAGTGCTGTACAAAGGACAAGTTACCACCAAATATTATCGCTTCCTGACCAAAGGCGGCGGCTGGGTGTGGGTGCAATCGTATGCCACACTGGTGCACAATTCGCGCTCCTCCCGCGAGGTCTTCATCGTGAGCGTCAACTACGTGCTCAGCGAAAGAGAGGTCAAAGACTTGGTGCTCAACGAGATCCAGACGGGCGTCATCAAGCGTGAGCCCATCTCACCGGCTGCCCAGGCGGCGGCCGTGGCCGCTGCAGCAGCTAGCGTCTCGGCGGCGGCGGTCAATGTCTGTGTTGCAGCACAGCAGCAACAGCCGCTGCCGCTGGCGCAATCACAGTCGCAGTCGCAGGCCCAGCAGCAACATCCGGCTTCGAGCACACCAACGTTGAGTGTGAGTCCCAAGCTGGATCCGTACTTTGAGCCAGAGTTGCCGCTCGCGGTGCTGCCGCAGCCGCCCAATGCCGTCACGCCCGTCAATGCCAACGCTAACAACAGCAGCAGCAACAACAACAACAACAACGCCAATAACAATAGCAACAGCAACGGCGTGTGGCATCAGCAACACGCCCAGCTGCACCAGCAGCCGGGCAGCATGGATCACGACAGCCTTAGCTACACTCAGCTCTATCCGCCACTCAATGATCTGGTGGTTAGCTCGAGCAGTAGTGCGGGCGGCGGCACTGCGTCTAGCGCCGCCGGCAGCGGCTCCAGTGCATCGGCCTCGTCGTCCGGCGTCTACTCAACGGAAATGCAGTACCCGGACACGACAACGGGCAGCCTCTACTACAACAACAACAATCATTATTACTATGACTATGATGCGACCGTGGACGTGGCCACGTCCATGATGCGTCCTTTCTCGGCCAACTCGAACAGCTGCTCGAGCAGCTCGGAAAGCGATCGCCAGCTGTCCACGGGCAATGCGTCCATTGTGAACGGCACCTCACCCTCACAGACCACGTACAGCGATCTGAGTCACAATTTCGAGCTGAGCTACTTCTCCGACAACAGTTCGCAGCAGCAGCAACAGCAACAACATTTGATGGAGCAACAACATTTGCAGCAGCGATTGCATGTGCAACAGCAGCAACATCCGCAGCAGCAACTGACCCAACAGCAACTCACACAGCAGCAACACGCACAACAGCAATACCAGCCGCAGCAGCAACAATATGGCTTGCATCAGCAGCAACAACAGCAGCAGCAGCAGCAACAGCATCGAGTGGTTAGCGACTTTGCTGAAAGCTTTAAGAGCGTCAATGCTGCAGCAGCAACAATTGCTGCCACGCCCCATTACACGAGCGTGATCGTTGAGCCGCAGCACTATATACCGAACGATTTTGTGCATTAGCCTCAGCTGTCGTCGGCCGTTGTTGTTCGTTTTGGAAGAGTCAAATATTGTTGCAATGTTATCGATATATCGAACGCTTCGATATATCGTTTATTTTTAATGCATCTCTGCGTTTTTGTTCAGCTCTAAGCTTTTGCCATTCGTGGCTGAGCCACGCGGCAAAAGCCTTTTTCTCTCTATCTCTTCAGCATTATTTCAACTGCAAGCATCTATTTATTAAATATTATTAATCTTCGACACATTTGTTTGAAACTAAAAATAAAAAACCATTGTTAACAAATGCAAATACAAATTATATATAAACAAAAATTGTAATTATAAGCTCTTAGCTATAAGCTGTTCATACAAATTAACTTATGTACTTACCATATACATATATACATACAACAAATTACTATAATAACAAATATTTATATATTCGTATGTATATAAATATGCGTTAATGTGTAAATAAAGCAAGCAGCGTTCTTCATTTACATAAATATCTGTTATGATGATGATCTTCATAAGTCGCGTAAATAATTGTAAATGTAACATTAATTGTAAACGTAAAATTTTCTAATTTGAATAAACAAATTATTATGTGGGTGAACAATAACAACAAAAAACAAAATTTATTTACCTAAATAATATATAGGCAATTTTCACTGATAAGATATAAGATTAAGTTTAATAAATATCATTTAAATTTATTTATATTTTATTTGTAGAAAGTTACTATAAGTACTTACAGCGGACAAGCTTTCTATTTCAAACATTTTAAAGAACTGTTAACTTGTATTTGTAGTCTGGCAGCCTAATGGTATAAAATGATATATAGATGGCGCCATGTCAGCATTTGATGCACCGGTTCTTACACTTATTCTCAATAATATTCCGTACAATATGTCTTTTTTTCATCAGTCTGGCAGCGTGATTGTTACTATAACACATAGATGGCGCTGCTACGACTACCGTTTATTTTTAATGAAATGTTCTATTCAAGTCTTAAATTATATATGTAATTTAAAGCTCTGGCACTTATGCTGCATGCCACATTCGCATAATTTCTTTGCTAACTAATTGTAAATTATTTAAATTTTAATTTGGTGCACAAGTTGGAGTCAAACTTGATGTTTAGTTAATTTTGTTTGTTTGTTTGCTTTTGTTTTGGCCATTTTGGCATTTTGGTCAAATGCAAAACAAACATTTTAGCCCATGTACGTGTCATTGTGCTGTGTCCTGTGCGTATTGCCTGCTGTCTATGGCCCTATGTGAGTGTCATTGATTTATTGCCGGCTATTTGCGAGCCAGAAAGTAAGCTAGAGAGTAAGAGAGCGATAAAGGAGAATGAGAGTATGGTATCTGCAGATAAAAGGGCTGACTGACCTCTTTTGGTAGAGGCTAATTGTCGTTTTTCAATTGCCACAGAGCACAAAAGACGACTTGCTGCAATTTGTGCCTCACTTTGACTTATTGCTAACTTATTTCTGTTAGCATTTGGGAAAACTTTTCTCGCATAGACCGCAAATTATTTAATTGCAATGCTACCAAACCACCCACGCCTCTCAAAAAGAAAAAAAAAGAAAAAAAAAGAGCTTGGCTGCTGCTGCCATTGCTCAAGGACTTTGCCTTAATGCAATAATTTAAGTGCAACCAAACCGCAACTTGCAGACTTTCGCCTCAACACAGCTTCGGGGCAACGAAGTCATATTAAAAATGGAAAAGCAGAAGAGAATGAATGCAAAAACAAACCGTCAGGAAAGTGTACTAAAAGTAGATGTGGGAGTTGTTTCGGCTCTGGCAATGCTACTCCCCTGTTCAATTGTGTGTGCATTTTTTTGCTCATTTCTTTTCGGCCTTCTGGCATCGCCGGACAGCAGTGGAAACCGAGATGCACTTTAATAACGAAAGTTGCGCCATTTTGAGTAGCATTCGAGTGCACAATTTCAGAAATGCAAAAACCTAATTTTGGTCTTAAACGCAAGTGCAAGTGCAAAGTATTTTAATTTAAAATTCGTGTCGGACTCTACGTGCCCGGCTGCCCGGCTGGTCGGCTTGCCGACGAGTGACGCATTTTAAATAAATGCAGCAGCTGCCCCCAAAAAGTTCTCGACTTAAATTAAATACGACAAACTGGTCTTAGATATGGCACATCCATACGTTTCTCAACACGAATCTGCTATGCTACTAAAATAGCCATTAAACATTTTATATGTTTATTTCTTGTCTCTTGCAAATGGGAGTTAGATATGGCTGCTGCCGCCTGTGTTGCAAAACGTTTAAACTGCATATTTGCTCTAAAAACTCTCTTAACGAGCTGGCAACGCTGTGCTTGTTTTTCTTTCGCCATTTCATTTCTAACGCCAACAATCTCGTTTGTTATGATGCATCGTTTTCTGTTAACATAAAAAGCAAAAGCAACAAAATAAAAACGCCAGCTAAACGCCTGGCCCGATATTTGGCTGTTATTTTGCTTCAATCCAAACGCGTTTTTACAAACAGTTTGTTGATTTTTACGAGCGCCCCGACAACAACTGTTAACTGGCATTTGCAAATTTCAGTTTTAGTACATGTACTAAAAACTTTACTTTAACAAATTACTAAAGCTGCACTAAAAATAAAAGTATTGTGAAAAATAATCGTTTCGAGCGAAAATCATTATTTTGAACGTTTTTTGCTATAAAATATAAAGACGAATATATATTTAAAATTTTATTTCCGAATGTATAAAATGTATAAAATAGTAGAATGCTTTTTTTTAGTTACTACTAAATATGTATATATTTGGTTTCATATTATAGTCTATTTCTATATACTTAATTAGTTCTTTTTTAAGGAATAAATATTAAAATTATATATTTCTCAATCTCTACACTTTATTAACACTAATTTTTGTTTTATAATTTTTACATCAAAGCGATTATACGCAATAATATTTTGTTTATACTTTTTTATATAACTTTTGTTCTTGGAAGTAGTCATATTTATGTTCAACATATTTATATATATAGGATTTAGCTAAGTTTCCTTTAAATGTTTAGGTGCGTCAAGCGCCGACTTCCATCTCTAAGCGGACCGCAACGACCAAGGCCGAGAGTCCTGGGCAAAGCTGCTCAAGCATCATTGCGGTTGGGCACGGAAATGGTAAGCGATTTAAATTTTTAATGCTCGCTAGGTTGCAGCAGCAGCAGTAGCAGCAGGTGCTGCAGCTGGACAGGATACGCTGGCAGGATATGCCTGGAGAATGGCACACATTTGGCCAGCTTATGTGGCTTCCAAATGGAAAATTTTCAAGCCTATTACATAAATGTTTAAGTGGGCAAATAGTTGGCAGCAAAACTGTATTGCTTGCAACGCACTCGCTGTGTGTGTGTGTGTGTGTGTGTGTGTGTCCAAGGGTCTGTCCTATTCCCCAGTTCATTGCACGCAACTGTACACACAAGGGAGCCACCATAGGCGACTAACGTTTGTATTAAAGTGCCTGGGCAGGGATCTAAGTATGTGTAGTTTGCTGGCTGGTCAGCATCTCAAGCATCTCAGGCGAAATGGGGCCAGTTGAAAAGTGCAATTGGCAAATGCTAGAAATAGTTTCAGCCAAGGAAAACGACAAGCCAGAAGAAAAAAGAACAAAAAAAAAAAAATGGAGCCACAAAACTTGCAGAAAAGACAACTCTGGTAATTTGTTCTGAGCGGCTTTTGTTTTGTGCGTCCTTTTTGGGGGTAGTCAAACGAAAGGACATTGACAAAGGATGACGACGGACATTCGCTGGCAGCACCAACCTTCGCTGATTGAGTGTGTGTGAGTGTGCGTGTGTGTGCGGGTGTGGGTGGGTGCCAAAAGGCGCTTAGCATCCTTTTCTTGAGCTTTCACTTTTCAATTGACCTTTTCTGACATTTTGCGCATTGCCCAAAATTTATCACTTAATAAATTTTCTATACCCGTTTGTAGGTTACTTTTCCTTATATTTCTTATTGTAATTGGAATGGTTATGTTATGTGTACAAATACTTATATGTATACATGTATATGTATCTATCTATGGACAATGTGATTTGTGGCTTGGCCAAATTAAAGCTGTCTAAATAAAAACAAAACATTGTCATTTATAGAGTTCGAGCAGAAGAAGAAGAACAGAAAGAAATATATGGAGTATGCTTAAAATTTTAATAAGCTATAAGGAAGAGAACTGAGATTATTTTATGGATGAAATGAGTATAATTCAGAAAAGTTTTATTCACTCAACTTTTATTTTGCATTTCTCCATTTAAATTGTCTTCTATGAGGTGAAATAAATGTTAATGTAGACCAAGTTAGGGTGCGGGTGCTATAAGCTATAATTTTTAGTTAATTTGTAGTGTGAGTAATTAAATTTTTAACTGCCCTGAAGCGAAGGTCTGTGAAGTGTAAACGTGTCCGGCTACGTTTGTGTGAATCGGATTAAATGAAAAATATTTTGACCTTTTGAATTATTTAAATATATTTAATATATAATAGATAAGTTATTATTACAGTAAATGACTAGGGGACAGTCCAAGCAAATCTATGTTCATAGTTTATATATTTTATTAAATCGTAATATATATTATTCATAGCAAGAGAAAGCATAATATAAATACAGCTAAAAGCATTTTAAAGCTTTAAAAATAAATAAAACGCGTCATTTTATTTAGTAGGATCATGTAATATATAAGCTCATAAGAGTGAAACATATTTAAATTTATATAATATATAATTCGATAGTTGTAGAATACACATTAATTTTTTTTTGAATATGTGTTCATATTATCCATCATATATACATATATAAAATATCTATATTAATGACAATCGAAGCATTTCGAAATTTCAAAATTGATGTTCATCAAGTCGACATCCAAAAGACGCCTTCAAAATATTCAAAAGACTGTTTGCTCTCTATGAAAAACTCGTTGGGGCTCCATCAAATTTTACTTCTCAAAATATTATTGCAGCTCTAAAGAGAAACTTTTTGGTTATAAAATCGAATTGATTTTGATTTTTATCCATGTGGATATTGTTACGCAGCAGATTTATGATGCATTACGAGTAGATTGAAGAATATTTTGTGTTTTGTGTTTTTTTCTTCATTGAATACGCATTGATCTGCAGAGAGACAGTGAGGGTGCAGAGGGCATGTTTGGCTTTTCGCTAAATTGTAGCAGTGAATGTCATAAAAAAGGATGCTAAAGCCCATATTAACGTTTTTTACGCACTTCACTTTGCCGTTCATTTGAAAGGGGCTTTGAAAGTGCTTTGAGAGCCAGTAAAGCAGCAGCAAAGCGGCAAAGCGGCAAATCAGCAGCCAAAGAGCCATGGCTTCTTGGCTTGGCAAATCCTTTCGTGCAGACGCAAACGTTTTGCAAAATTTATGTAAAAGATTTACGCATAAAATTGCGCGTCATTGAAGTTCAAATGCGTCGATTCAGATTTGCGGGGCATGGGGTAAGTAGGCTGCGGCGGCAAGTGTGTCGACATCATCAATATACTTCAGCCATTAAGTGTGAAGGCTCGAGCGATGCGAATGATGCGAGCGACGCAAGCGACAGCCAACAGTCGGGCGCTAAATGTTGCGCATACGCCATGTACGCCAGCACAAAACTTAAGCGTTCCTATTACAGCAAATTGAATAATATTTGAGGCGTGTGTATTTGTATGTGTGTGTGTGTGTGTGTGTGTGAGTGAAGGCGTGATAGGACGCACACATGCTTATATTTATGTGTGCGCTGCTATCTAATGCATTTGTTTGACTTGACTTTGAAGTGCGCGCAAATAAGTAGGCAACACTTTTTTCACTTTGATTTCACTTTGACTAAGGGTAATAACATTTCATCAAACGGGGTGTCTGGATGTGAGTATATGTAGTAGTCGATATATATATGAGATGTGGAAGCATATGCATATAGATTTTTTGAGCAGCTCCGCCTACGTGGGTCAATTTACCTGTTCATCTGGATGTTGCTTTGCATCATTCTCTCTCAGCTTTAATTTCTTCTGGCAGCTATCGGCATTGATAGATAATGTCTACATTAATCAGAATCAAGTACTTGCATAAGATTCTTTGCTTTCTTAAGATTTTTCGTGAGAAATCAAGCTCTATGACATCAAATGAAATGTATAAAATATATAATATAAAAATTAATTTTTGTATTTTAAAACTTATGCATGTATATTTTTAAATTTCATATATTGAAATATATATAATACATTTATTCAAATATTGTTTATTATTTATTTTATTATTATTTAGACATTTATTTAAAATATATTTTTCTAATATACCGCTGAGCTCTGCTTAACTCCGTTTTATTTTCAATTACAGCAATACAAAAAATATCTTTCAGTACATCGAAATTCTGCATAGATCTATAAAATGCTAAGCACTTCAAAAGGGTATTCAATCTGTGTCAACTTAAAGATAACTTTTCTATTTTTCTCCTTTTATTTTTATACCCGGCTGCTTATTATTTGCATTTTTTGTGAGCTGCCTTTTTATCAGCACACGCACAGACCTTGTGTTTTGGTAAGGGTTTATGCTACGGCTTCAGACGCAAGTCGGCTAAATCTCAGCGATATATTTTACATCATTATAGCTGCCGGCAGCGTTCTTCCTCTGCTTATTGTTGTTGTTCCCATTGTTGCTGTTGTTGTTGTTGTTGTTGCTGTTGTTTTGCTTTATGTTTTGTCGCTTTCTCGCGATTTTATGACTTTGACAGCGCTGCCTCAGCCCCACAGCATGGCGGCCCATATCGAGTGAAGCTATTGAAACAGATTTCGCTGACGCTTATTTTTCGTTACATCCCACCCCCAACTCCAACCCCCTCCCCCACCATCAAGCTCAGCGCCTATCCAGTTCCAGCAGCTCCCATCGCTGTTTGCGCATTCAATGAAAATCATTTTTCGATATGTTATTTGACTGTGCGCACGTGTATGTTTCTGTGGCATTGGTTTACCTTGATTCGCCCAGCCTCAGTGTCAGCCTCTGCCCCAACTCCAGTCGAGGCGACACTTTTGGCATCATTATCTGCACAGCATCGAATGCTCAAGCACTTTGAGTTATGCGCCCGGCAGACGCTCAAAAAGCATAAAACACAAATAAATGACAGAGAAAAACGAAGCACGCACACACACACACACACACACAGACTCAAAGTTATATAAAGATGCCACAAAGATACATTTGCCGCAGGCGGGATAACCACACACTCACACACTCGCACTCACACACATGTATAAACAAAAACTTCACACTGCACAGCAAGAGTGTAAATTATTTTTGTAGCATAATTAAAAACTCTGAAGAAGAGAAAGAAAATTTATGGGTTTGTTAAACAAACGCTAGCAATAATTATCGATTTAATTGATCGATAAATAAAATATGAGCCTGGCAGTTTTAAAAATCATTTAATTTCTGTCTTTTACTTTAAGCAAATTCAATACAGAAATGCATCAGATATTATGTTAAGCAAATTGAAATCTACAGAAATGCGTTAGGATTAATATTAAATTCGAGAATAGAAGAGAAAATATATTGCCATAGTTTGGTAGAGTTTTATATGTTTTATGTTTAGTGATAAGGAATTCCAAGTAGACCAGATATTGCAGTCTGTCGTAGCAGAAGTTACAAAGAAATGAATTTCCAATTCTAATTCCACAGGCTAGACTCTTTAATAACATAAATGATAATCAAGTCAGTCAGCCAGAAAATTTGTTAAAGTTTACTCAAATATTGAAAAATAATAAAGTCATATAGCGAAATAAAACAAATAAATAAAGTGATATTCATTTATTAAAGCCTCTGGAAGGAATGCCACATTCTTAATATCTAGGAAATTTAATAAATATCAATTTATTGTATAATAAAAGTAATAGAAGGTTTAGAAATATATTATATAATATAAGAAACAATATACTATAGATCCAGAAAAAATATTTACTGAAAGCAAAGTTTTTGCATCACAGCAATTTTGCTGAAATGCTGAAATTTTCTTGTAGCAAAGAAATGTCAAATTTAGTTCAACTTGAAATGAATCAATCAATTTGAGTTTACACACAGAAAGCCCAGATTTGCATCAGCTGACAAATCATTTCGGTTCTGACAAAGTTATGAAAGTCAAAGATCTGAGGCAAACTCTTTCAACACATTTGCTAATTTGGGCACAGCTGTCAAGTGTTGAGGTCAAATCAGAGATCTGAAGTGACTTCTGTTTGCAGCATCAAAGGCTATTTTTTGTTTTTGTTTGTTCCGTTCTTTATTTTTTATTTTTCATGTCGAATGTTTGATGTTTGATGTTTGACTCCCAAATAGAATCTTTGGCACAATCTTAATTTGGATAAGTGCAGTCTTTCACAGCTGCAGCAGGGAACTTCGCACATATTTCAGATACTAAACCGATGTTCGATGTTATTGGATAATGTTGTTGCCACATAAACTGGTCAACTGTGCGTGCATGTGTGTGAGTGTGTGTGTGTGTGTGTGGGTTGTGCTTAACACGCCATTGAACTGTTACGCAACAACAGCATATGTGTATGTGTGTGTGTCCAGCATTGGCCCCTTGGCTGCCTTGCCGCCCCTCGCCCCCTGCGGCTGGACAAATCCCATTTGATGTTCACTCAGCAGAAAGGCAACGCCAATGAAGCATGCAAAAGGTATTTCTGTTTTCGTAGCGCGTTCCTCTATCTGCTCCTCCCCTCTCACACGCTCCCCCACCCACCCTAGCAATCTCTATCTCTCTGCTTGTTTCGTTTGCTGCGGCTGCTGCTGAGATTTTGGCTTTGTAACTCAAAATCGACAAGCAGCAGCAGCAGCAACAAGGAGCAAATGTGCAAACATCATGAAAAAAGCGCATGGACAAAAAAAAAAAAAATAAAAAAGAAGAAGAAGAAAATTCGCCCAAAAAATAAAACAAGCAGCAACAAAGCCCAAGGACAAAGGCCATGCGGTTGATGTACCAGGTGCACAGTGGTCGAAAATCACTTAATAGACTTTCAATTAGGGCAATTACTAAGTTTATTTAGCCAAGGTGCCATTTATTGTTTTTTAGAATTTTATTAGAAATTTATTGGTATTTTAGTTAAAGGGATTTTGAAGTAAGTAAAGTAAGTGAAAAAGTTTTCTTTCTCGAGATGACCTTCGATTGGGTAATCTATAAGATATAGGGCTAAGTGGGTAGAGTCTTGGGGTTTCGGAAAATAAGTTAGAGTTGAAGAGTTATGACTTGGTCAAGCGCTCAAACATAGCTTTAGAAAACAGATCATGAAAGTGAAAAAATAAAATGATTCAAATGCGGTATAAATAGAGCTGCTCATAGTGTTCTCCAGAATTAAATGTGCAAGGCTAAAATATATGTGGGCTATGCATTCCCTATGATCCATTTTAAATGGCGACAAGACATAAAAAGTGACTTTACGGATATTCCCAAGAAAACTGTTCTCATAACTTAGAAACCGTCTTCCGGCTATCTGAGCGCCATTTTTCTTCTTCTTTTTCCTAATAAATGAGGGGTGAAAATATAAGACAATGTAATCTATTATATTTTCATGATTTTTTTTTAATTCCTGATTCTTGATTTTTATATTAAATACAGTAGAATACGGTTATAACGACACTGGACCGACCGTCGACATACTCGGAAGACGCTATAATCGTATAAGTTTACTCATAGAAGTTTGTCTGGGGACCAGAATTTTTGTGGCTATACCCGTACAGACGCTATAAGCGGAGTCTGCTGTATGTATATTATGTATTATTATTTTAAGAACCCTTAGCAAAAAATTTGATCAAACAAATTTATATTTGCAATTTTCGTCAACCAACGTTTCACATACTTTCAAACCACTGTGCAACAGCGGAGCTATAGAAAACTTTTCGCCACACATTTCGTATTCGTGGGCTATTTTATTGAACTTTAATTCATTGTGCAGCAACAGCAGTAGCAGGAGTAGCAGAAGTAGCGGCAACAGTCGAAATGTGGCGCATAAATTCTTTTTACTTAAGTTGCTACTTTGTGCGATTGCGATGTTGAATGTGGCTGCGGATGCAGCCGATGTCCGCGCTTCCGCCTTTTTATTGTAAATACGCGTAAGCAGCTGGCAAAGCAGGAACAGCAGCAGCAGGAGGAGTAGCAGAAGGCACAGCAGGAGGAGCAGGAGCTGGAGCAGCTGTAACAGAAGCTGCTGCCCTTCAATACAATGTACATTGTACATTGTCCATTGGGTCATAAAATGGCTTCCGGTTATGCTTGAAGTGAGATTAACTTGTCGTTCGCAATTTCTCTTTGATTTGTTTCGAAAAATCGAAAAAGGGGACGAACTCAGCTAGGCAAGGGGGAGCCAGCGAAAGGTTGAATTGTTTTTTCGTCCTCCCCTTTCTTATTTTTTATTTTTTTTTGCTGTGTTGCCTGTTGCTAGCCTTCAGTTTCACTTTTATCTTTCACTCTATCTCTGAGCTCCCCTTAATATATTTATAGATCTTACTCGTTACTTGATTACTCGTAACTCCACCAAATGAAGCGTGTGAGTTGTTCCAAAAATAAGTAGAAATAAAACTAATTTGATATGGCTTTAAAATTTACGCTGATTTGCGACAAGTTTCATTGGGTTTAAATTTTACGCGCTGCAAGCGTTTGCCCAACTCTCGTAGCATTTGAAGACCTGTGTATGGGGTATGTCGTTTAAAGAGGACCTTTTCTAGTGTTGTGCAGAACTCAACAATAATTATTCAATCGTTACTAGAATATAGAATATAGATTCGTCATTTCGGCTAAGTTCAGCACATTATCATATTTTCATTATTCTATTAAAGACTTACAGGGTATTTGGATCGTTGTTCACACTAAAGCCTTCACGCTTCGGTCCACCCTGAGCCGTCGTAATTGTTGTATTCATGTTGTTCACCAATTCGTACAAATTGATTTACAACGATTCATTTTGCAAGCAGCTGCTAAACTGGAGCAGCCCATTCCGAGTCTCAGGTGTGAGTTTTATTTGTTCCAAAATTGTTTTAGGGTTTTTTTTTTGTTCGTCTTTCGGTTCGGACAACAACACCCAGGCCTCCCATTCACAGCGTTGCCTGGACTCTAATTCGACTGCGGTGCATGGAAGTCTGCTCAGCTTTCACTTTCAAAAAACACACACAAAAAAGTAGAGAATCGCAGTAGAATGCTATGCCTGACTAGCAAATACCCTGAATTTAGAGCCGAGCTAAAGAAGGAAGTAATTAAACGACATAATACTTGGTTTCTGTCTAGAGAAGAAAAGCTGTCCTTCAGATATGGGTGTGTTTAAATTGGGGATATATTAACCGGAATTGTATATCGATTAGGTTTTGAGAAACATTATCGATGAATTCAAATACATGCGTGCTGAGTACGCTTGAAGGTAGGGAACTGGTAAGTTTCTAGCTCTCACACTCTGATAAGTTTCGGGTGAACATCGATTTCAGATCAGGAAAATATATACTTTATGTTTTTTGCCACTATTGCTTCCGGTTGACAAATATATATATCGCAACATATCATACTCCACGTACTATATTCAGGGTAGCAGAACAAAAAAACCTGAAATCTGGCACAGGACGGGGCAGACCACTGTGCAATTAAGCCGTGCAATCAGAATGCAAGATGAAGGCTTCACTCCTTTAACAATGGCGAGCCTCGTTGACAAAATGGCGGCCGCAGGCTGCAAAGCCAACAAATGTGTTGCATAACAGACGTCGGCTCTTGTTGCTGTTGGTGCTGCTGTTGTGCTGCTGCTGTTGGATTACACTTTTAGGTGCTTGTTGGCTTTGTGCTGGCTGTTTTTGTTGGCTAAAAGCGCCGGAATTGGCCTGCATTGCCCTGGCAACTGTCAGATCCCTTAGCGCAAGTAGTTCCATCGACATTTTAGCTGTCGAAATATTTGACCGAGCCATGAAAACGTTTCGGTGGACGTTGAAAATATGGCAAAAATCCTTTGTTTCAGCTTGACTGATTTTTCGATTGTGTGAAGAAGACTTTAATGTGATTCAAAATATAATTTAATACGGTGTTTGAATTATAATAATTTGAAATGTTTCTCTTTGATTGTGTCATTGTCATTGTCATTGTCATTCTCATTGTCATTGCCATTGTCATTGTAATTGTCATTGTCATTGTCATTGTCATTGTCATTGTCATTGTCATTGTCATTGTCATTGTCATTGTCAATGTCATTGTCATTGTCATTGTCATTGTCATTGTCATTGTCAATGTCATTGTCATTGTCATTGTCATTGTCATTGTCATTGTCATTGTCATTGTCATTGTCATTGTCATTGTCATTGTCATTGTCATTGTCATTGTCATTGTCATTGTCATTGTCATTGTCATTGTCATTGTCATTGTCATTGTCATTGTCATTGTCATTGTCATTGTCATTAGTAGTTTAAAAAGTATACCGCACGTCATATATCAAATAGAGTGTTAAAATATAAATAGAATCATGGCAAATTCTAATGTCATGGTAAATTAAATAGGTTATCTCAAAAGGTTTGACTCTCAGAAATACAATATATCTCTCTTTCCAACGGCAAAGAAAATTAAAACTGTGTCGAATTATTATATATATAATTTGGAGGATTACTCTGGTTCTATTTCACTTCTGCAATAGCACTCGATTCGCTATGAAAAGGTTTCACATATTAATATTCGGTAAAATGAATTTTGAAAACAAAAAAAGAACAACATTTATTTTGATTTCATCTGTGCTCAACTTTCATCGTTGCAGTCTTTGTGCTGTATGGACTTGTCATCTGCGATGATCTGTCCTCGGAGGAGGATGAATATGATGATCTAAATAGCGGATATACCATAGGTCGTACGCGAAACATTTTGCGGACCCTTGTGTCAACAGGTGATACGGAGAGTTATTGTTGTTTTTGGATAAATCAAGATCATCCTGCTCTACCCGATGCCGTGGATCTTGAGAAAACGTATCCATTCGACTTCGTAGTAAATGGGAAGATCATGGTAACTGAACTCCCGACCAGTTCAACGTTACCTTATATACCGACTAAAAAAGTGTAAAGCGAATAATAGAAAAATAAGCAGTTTAGTATTCCTCTTGTCAGTTCATTTACTTAGTTAATTAAATTCCATTCGAACAGCAGAGGGAACTGCAGCTACAGGATGTGCTCTCGGCATATCCTGTTTGCACAACGTATTTCTTCATATCGTAGTTAAATAGTGCAATAGCCAAATTCTGTTTGCATTTAATCTGGATTTTTCTCATGTTGGCCGCAGCAGCTTCAGCTTCAGCTTCAGCAGCAGCAGGAGAAACTTTCAAGTCCCATTGCATAATTCAGCTGGCTGGAGTTTGTGTAATTTGCTGCTTCAATGCTTAATGAAAATCCTTGAAAGAGATTTAAAATGTTCCCTCAGTTGTTTGGCACCTTTTTGCGCAAATAAACTCCAGCTTCACATGCTGGACCCGTGAAATTGCATTTATCTCTCAAATGGAAGCTTTACTTGAGATGCACTCAAGCTCTCAGTGTGTGAGTGAGTGCATGTCTGTGTGTGCTTGAGTGTGTGCATGTATGTGTGTGTGTGCTTGCAGATAATTTCCAATTGAATCGAAATGAAAATTGCTATGGCAGAACAACTCCAATATACTACATTGACACTTGCATAGGTCGGCTGTCTGACCTGTCATATAATATATGGTCATATGGTTAAATTTATATATTTTTGATATTTGTTTATATTTTGTTCACAAAGGGAAGAAGTAAAAGTTGCTTTTATTTGGTTTTGTGCAATGCTCGTCTTGCTGTTCGTCCAACTGATCGTACTATTGATACAAGAGACATGAAAAATAGTTTAATTTAGTCTACATATATGTATGTATTATTTCGAATAAGTTTTGCTTGTTTAAAACATTGTCTAATAAATCATTCAGCAAAAAAATATATTCAATATGTACATACTTATTTCTGTGCATTGAATATTAGAGCTTAGTCAAGACACAATCCACTTGACGCACTGTGAGCAAATTTGCGTTACTACTATCGATATCGGTGAGCAGTTATCGTGAGCAGAGCTGCCAGACGATCGAACAGCTGTTTTGTAGGTTGAGTTTTGCGCGCGAATTTCGGCAAATTGGGTTTTGTTTTTGCGCGTGCTTGTGAAATAAATAATTAATTAATTTTATTAAGTGTACTTGTTAGTGTGTGTGTGTGTGTATTTAAGTCATGTCTGTGCTATTGGCAGACATAGATGCCACCTGCGCAGCGCTTGGCGTCAGCGATGGCAAACGCTACCAAGCGGAGCCCGATGCAGCGGAGGGTTTAAAGGTAAATGAAAATACATACAGATTTTTAGAGATTTAGAGCAAGTAAAATGACATTGCACTATTTTAGCACTTGATATGGATATTGCGTCGCGATCTCGACAATCATGAGTATCGCCGGCATTTGGGACGCGCCAAGGTGCTGCAGACGGATCTCGTTTATATGCTGCCCGACTATGTGCACGACGCGGAGCTGTCGGATCTGTTGATACGTCTGCTGGTCATATTGACCAATCCGACGTTGCTGCTGTACCGTGATGGGCCGCCCAGTGACAATCATGGGCGTAAAGTGTTCCTTGAACTCATCGACATATTGCAGGGCTATAAAGTAGCCTTTGCTAAGGATAAAATATGGGCGGCCCTGTTTGAGAAGCTCAAACAAGCATTGGAAATTGTAAGTTAATGAACTTGTGAGTTTTGATATATCTGTATGAAAATTCTGTATGTTTATAAGCTAAAGAACCTAAACTAACGCAAAACAGAAGCAACTATGAATACAAGCGCAAGAAACTCGGGTGGCGGCTCCCACAGCGGCAGCGACACAGAGGAGGATGATTCCTTCGATAATCGTTATTACACCTGTTTGGTTTGCATGCGCACAGCTCGTCTGCCACGTGTCACCTTCTGTGGCCATGTCTTCTGCACCGACTGCATCGGCAAGTGGATCACCTGGCAGGGCAGCTACGCCAAGTGTCCGTACTGCCAGTCGCGTGTCGGCAACAATACGCTGATCACAGTCAGCTACGGCCGGAACGGACATCATACATACGGGCGCTTTGCACGCTGCAAGTCAATCGCCCAGCATCGTCACTTTGCGGAAACTATTGCCATGTATACCTCGGTGCCAGAGACATCGATGTATTTGGGCGCGTACATTGAACGGCCGCCGGAGCTGATGCCACGCATCAAGCCACTGCCGGAACAACTGCTGCGTGATGTGTCCCGGTATCAAATACGCCGCACCTTTGTCATCCCATCCATCTATCAACGCCTTCTAATCGTGATCATAATATTTTATCTTTATATCGTGTATCTAGATGCTGACGGACCGATTTAAATGGAACTCAACTCCTTGTTAGTTGCGCTTCATTGTTATCTGGTTGCAATTGTTTTTTTTTTTTTTATTTATTTAAATAGAGTCTCTTCTTGGAGAAACTGCTGTAGTAGTTGTTGTTGTTGTTGAATCTGATATGTCGTTTCTGTCGTTGTTAATTATACCAATTAAATGAGGCTCAGGCAATTAGCGTTCTCTGGCATTTGCACAACTATTTCTCTGTTATCTTTTATGTAGACCCTTACCACGACCATGAGCCCTAATATAACAGCGGTCTGCGCAAGAACTTTTTAATGGCTCTCGTGCAGCTGCCAGCAGCGAATGAAGTTGGAAAATATTTTGCAAATGCCAGCTGCTTGGGGTATTCCCAATTTGTTAAGCAGTGTGAGCTTTATGTAGTTAATATTGCTGAAAGTCTTTCTACGGTTAGGTGTTTATTGGACACGATTAGCCTTCCTGATGATGATTCTGAATATGATATGCCTGTAACAGTTGGCTGGATTAAACATCTGATTTAGTTGCCATCTGTAGAATGTTTTTGTTCCTAAACCTGACAGTTCTAGATCTAATTGTGCTTTCTGAATCGCTAAAACATTGGCTATTATTATTCTAGACATTTTTTCTTAGAAGATCTAAAAATACATGTGTAAAAAACACGTCTACAAGATCTAAATCTATATAAAAATGTATAGAGATCTTGCAGTTTTTTTTTATAGAATTATGTTGATAGTATGCTTGAGCTTAATTATGTATATTAGATTCCAAATATTTAGATCTTGTATGAAAATGAATATTCAATTTTTAGATCTTATATGAACAATGGCGATTTGCATAGGCTTAAAATTTGAAGAGAATTCTTACATGTCATCAACATCAAACGGCTTACTATTATGATTTGAATATTGCCCATAATATTCTCAATGTATAAGTGCATTTCTTATTCGGCTAGCTTAATCTATTCTTGCTTTGGCTTTTGTTTCTGGCACTGAGGCTGACTTTTGGACTTCTTTCCCTGAGCTTCCTTTGTGTGTTTCATAACTAATTTGAACTTCATTTACTATCTGTTTTTCATCTATGGCTGAAAGTCATTCAGCTAGATATTTTTTCTTTCCCATCTCTCTCTTTCTTTATCTATCTATCCCTTTTTTCTCTTGTAACCCTTGATTGTTGATTATCAAGCGAGGTTTGAAATTTGGCTGTGCTTTGAAGTTGCTTCGACGAAACGTGTTCAAAATACGAAAATGCTCAGAAGAAAATGTAATTCCGTTCAAAAATTATATGAAATCAAATCGACGCCCAAAACTTTTTCGCTTGACGCCAAGGCTAAACCGCAACAAGTCGAATTTAATAAACAGTCTGAAGCATAGAGAAGAAAATAACAAAATAACAAAACAGAAAAGTGAAAAGGGAAATGCGTGAGGCCAAGTGCCAGCAGGCACCTTCAAATCAAACGCAAAAAAATCTGTGGGTTTTCTAGGCGTCATCCACATGCTCAGTGTCACAGTGGGTGCAAACCACAAACTCCCCAACAGCAAAAACAACAAGCAAAACAACTGCAAATTTCTGTTTACAATTTGTAGTATTTTGTGTGGATGAATATGTCTGAGCATGAAATGTTTTCAATTGCTAAATTGTAGTCAAAAAAAAAAAAAAAAAAAAAAAAAGGAAACGAAAAAAATAAGAAATGAATACACAATGAATTTCCCAAGTAAGAGAGAAAAAGAAAAGCAGGAAAAATAGGAATCAGCAAATGAAAAACTCCCACACATTTTAGCCAGAGGCTGGCGCTTAAGTAGACCCAGCTGATGGAAGATTGCGTTTAAGACTTCTGTGTAGAAGAAGGAAAAAGGAAATAGAAAAATCATTTGACTTGCATCTTTAATGTTGAATAACAAAGGCGATGAACTTTTCAGTCCGAGAACTTTTAATTGACACTATGGAAGCAAAAGGACTCTCAATCACTTTACTCTTTTTGTTTGGTTGATGACTTCTCTAAGTGATTAGTTTTTAGTTTTTTCCTTAAGATTTCAGACATGAACGTACAATTCTCTCTACTTGCAGCTGGAAGGTACTTCGCAGTTTTTGTAGATACTGAGCATACAGCTCACACAATTCAATCAAAGCTCTGATTCTATGATCGCTTTTCCTGGCTCTCTTCAATCGGCTTTATTAGCATGAAAGCTGCCATTTGTTTCGCTCATGAACGAAACGAATTCAAATGAATTCGCTTTAATTCTAGGAAGTAATGAAAGTAAAAATCGTATTTTTTTTAACGAAATTGCGAATGTGGCCTGAAAAATTGCGGAACAGACTTAGCAGCCTAATTCAATAAAATTTTTGATTTTAATTTCACAGTCATTAAAAACGTTGAAAAGTTTGAAATTACTTAATGAACGTGTATTGAGTTAAGATTGCAGTTAGGAGCTGGCTAATAGCCTTAAGAGATTTCCTGTAGATATTGTAAATGTGTATACTAAAATCCTAAATAAGATACATACATACATATATATGTGTACGTACATACATATATACAATGTACATACATACATATGTACATACATACATTCATTTAGACATATACAACTAATCTACATGTGTTTTAATAGAAAATATCCTGAAATGCCTGAACTAATTAATTTTAGACTAATTTAAATTTAAATTTTAATTTTAATGAATTTAATTTAATAATTTAAATCAATTGAAATTCATTTCTGCCAAT